TCCCTGTGCTCCTCAGAGTCCCAGCAGGAGGCCAGTCCCTGTGATCCTTATAGTCCCAGCAGGAGGCCAGTTCCCCTGCCACAGTCTGAGTCGGTTCAAAAGACCCTAACATGAATGTGTCAGAATAGACATTAAACGTATATACAGGTTTATTTCTTATAACTTTTTGTCTTTTGAAAAACAAAACAAACTAGGATAATATGTCAAATCCTCATGCTCCAGCTCTTTCTCAGATTCCAACACAGATCTATAATCAAACTCCTTTTGTTGAAATGTGTGAGCGTGTCTGAGGCCGACATTAAAAGTCCATACGATAATCAATGCACCATTTTGTCTGAGAGTGATTGGAGCGCCGTCATAAACAAATGGACAGAGGGAACGCAGCCTCTCAAAGTCACCACAAATCTCAATATTGACAGAAAGATTTATTCCCAGGATGTAAACACATTAGCATTGATATTCACCGAGGGGGCGCACACGTCACTGTAATTTATTAAGAATCAATGGCTGTAGTCTTTTTATCATTGAGACGAGGCGGGGAGCGTGCCAAGGTGCCTCTTTCGTATTTGGTGTACATTTATTATGCTAATACAAGCGCACTTTGGCTGCTGAGTCATATTGATTCCCCAAAAATACCCCAGAATGACCCTTGCTCCAGCTTGGGACAGGTGTCAAAGGCCTACCCCCCCATGCCTGGACGACAGCACCGGTCCCACGCAGAAAGACCGGCGTAAATACCTCCAGAGAAGCTTCCAGGTCATGGGGTCAGTGTGCCGTACCGTGCCGAGCCGAGCCGAGCCGCTGGGGCGACTGCGTGTGGGGAGATTTAATTAGCTCGGGCCGTGGGAGGAGCGGCAGGAGCAGAAGGCAAAAGGCTACATGCTAAACTAGCCATCCATCCATCCATCCATTTTCTTCCGCTTTATCCGTTGCCGGGTCGCGGGGGCAGCAGTCTAAGCAGAGACGCCCAGACTTTCCTATCCACACACACTTCCTCCAGCTCGTCCGGGGGGACCCCAAGGCGTTCCCAGGCCAGCTGAGAGACATAGTCCCTCCAGCGTGTCCTGGGTCTTCCGCGGGGCCTCCTCCCGGTGGGGCGTGCCCGGAACACCTCCCCAGGGAGGCGTCCAGGAAGCATCCGGAACAGATGCCCGAGCCACCTCAACTGGTTCCTCTCGACGTGGAGAAGCAGCGGTTCTACTCCGAGCTCCTCCCGTGTGACTGAGCTCCTCACCCTATCTCTAAGGGAGCGCCCAGCCACTCTGCGGAGGAAGCTCATTTCGACCGCTTGTATCCGCGATCTCGTTCTTTCGGTCATTACCCAAAGCTCATGACCATAGGTGAGGGAGGGAACGAAGATTGACCGGTAAATCGAGAGCTTTGCCTTTCGGCTCAGCTCCCTCTTCACCACAACGGTCCGATACAGCGACCGCATAACTGCGCACGCTGCACCGATCCGCCTGTCAATCTCACGCTCCATTCTTCCCTCACTCGTGAACAAGACCCCGAGATACTTGAACTCCTCCACTTGAGGAAGGACCTCTCCACCCACCTGCAGAGGGCAAGGCACCTTTTTCCGGTCGAGCACCATGGCCTCGGATTTGGAGGTGCTGATTCTCATCCCAGCCGCTTCACACTTGGGCTGCAAACCGTCCCAGTGCATGCTGCAGGTCCTGGTTCGTTGGAGCCAACAGGACAACATCGTCCGCAAACAGCAGAGATGAAATCCTGTGGTCTCCGAACCGGACCCCCTCCGACCCCTGGCTGCGCCTAGATATTCTGTCCATAAATACAGTGAACAGAACCGGTGACAAAGGGCAGCCCTGTCGGAGGCCAACATTCACCGGGAACAGGTCTGACTTACTGCCGGCAATGCGAACACAGCTCTGGTTCCGGTCATACAGGGATCGGATGGCCCTCAGCAGAGGACCTCCGACCCCGTACTCCCGGAGAACCCCCCAAAGGACACCCCGGGGAACACAGTCGAACGCCTTCTCCAAATCCACAAAGCACATGTGGACAGGTTGGGCGAACTCCCATGAACCCTCGAGTATCCGATGGAGAGTATAGAGCTGGTCCAGTGTTCCGCGACCGGGACGAAAACCACACTGCTCCTCCTGGATCCGAGATTCGACCATCGGCCGTAACCTCCTCTCCAGTACCTTGGAGTAGACCTTACCGGGGAGGCTGAGGAGTGTGATCCCACGATAATTGGAACACACCCTCCGGTCCCCCTTCTTGTAGAGAGGGACCACCACCCCGGTCTGCCACTCCATTGGCACTGCCCCCGATCGCCACGCGATGTTGCAGAGACGTGTCAGCCAAGACAGTCCTACAACATCCAGAGACTTTAGATAATCAGGGCGGATCTCATCCACACCCGGAGCCTTGCCACCATGGAGGCTACCAACCACCTTGGTGACCTCAGCCAGGGAGATGGATGTACCCGCCCCAACATCCTCAGCCTCTGCCTCTGTAACAGAGGACGTGACGGGGGGATTGAGGAGAACCTCAAAGTATTCCTTCCACCGCCCGACAATATCCCCAGTCGAGGTCAGCAGCTCTCCACCCGCACCGTACATGGTGTTGGCAAAGAACTGCTTCCCCCTCCTGAGGCGCCGGATGGTTTGCCAGAATCTCTTCGAGGCCGACCGATAGTCATGCTCCATGGACTCTCCGAACTCCTCCCAGTCCCGGGTTTTTGCCTCTGCAACAGCCCGGGCCGCGGCACGCTTGGCCTGCCGGTACTGGACAGCTGCCTCAGGAGTCCCCCGAACCATCATGGCTCGATAGGACTCCTTCTTCAGCCTGACAGCATCCCTTACTGCCGGTGTCCACCACCGGGTTCGGGGGTTGCCGCCGGGACCAGCACCAGAGACCTTGCGACCACAGCTACGAGCCGCCGCATCGGCGATTGAGGCAGAGAACATGGTCCACTCGGACTCCATGTCCCCCTCCTCCGCCGGGACCTGGGAGAAGCTCTCCCGGAGGTGTGAGTTGAAAGTCCGTCTGACAGGGGGCTCAGCGAGACGTTCCCAGCAGACCCTCACTATACGCTTGGGTCTGCCAGGTCTGACCGGCTTCTTCCCCTGCCAGCGGATCCAACTCACGACCAGGTGATGATCGGTTGACAGCTCCGCCCCTCTCTTTACCCGAGTGTCCGAGACACGCGGTCGAAGGTCAGATGATACGACAACAAAGTCGATCATCGACCTCCGGCCTAGGGTGTCCTGGTGCCACGTGCACTGGTGGACACCCTTGTGCTCGAACATGGTGTTCGTGATGGACAAACCGCGACTGGCACAGAAGTCCAACAACTGAGCACCGCTCGGGTTCAGATCAGGGGGGCCGCTCTTCCCGATCACCCCTCTCCAAGTGTCACTGGCGTTTCCCACATGGGCATTGAAGTCCCCCAGGAGAATAACGGAGTCCCCGGGCGGTGCACCGTCCAGTACCCCTCCCAAGGACTCCAAGAAGGCCGGGTACTCTACACTGCTGTTAGGCCCGTAGGCCGTCACAACAATGAGAGACTTGTCCCCCACCCGGAGGCGGAGGGACGCGACCCTCTCATTCACCGGGGAGAACTCCAACACGTGGCGGCTGAGATGGGGGGCAATGAGAATGGCCACCCCAGCTCGCCGCCTCTCCCCGCGGGAAACTCCAGAAAAGTGGAGCGTCCAACCCCTCTCAAGGAGTTGGGTTCCAGAGCCCAAGCTGTGTGTGGAGGTGAGGCCGACTATCTCTAGTCGGTATCGCTCAACCTCCCCCACGAGCTCGGGCTCCTTCCCCCCCAGTGAGGTGACGTTCCACGTCCCAAGAGCCAGATGTTGTGTGTGCGGATTGGGTCGCCGAGGTCTCCGCCTTCGACTGCCGCCCAGTCCTCTCTGCACCGCTTCACCACGGACCCCTCTGCAGGTGGTGGGCCCACAGGAGGGACTGCCCACGTCATCCCTTCGGGCTGAGCCCGGCCGGGCCCCGTGGGCTAAGGCCCGGCCACCAGGCGCTCGCATACGGGCCCCGACCCCAGGCCTGGCTCCAGGGTGGGGCCCCGGCTGCGCCATGCCGGGCGACGTCACTGTTTTCGTGTTAGTGCTGTCCATGGTGTCTTCTGGACTAAACTCTGCTAAACTAGCCCTGATCATGTAATTGGACTGGTGTCAGACTTTTGACCTGGCTCATGTCATTGTAATCACTGTGTCTATTCACATTCAACAAAATGTGTATTATGTGTAAGGATCATGTGACATCGACAATCCAAAGAATCAATAATCTGTGGTGGAGGTGTGAATTTTATTTGGCTTTTATTAATTGACTTAGTGACAGAGAAAATTGGCAAATATTCTCAAAATTTGCCAGTAATTCCTTGTTGCTAGGCTTTTTATTTTGGAAATTTAATCGTTTTATATATTTCTATATTTGATTCATTCACCGCGTTCCCACCATTCGTCACCTTCCCACCACGTGACAACAATCCCTTTATTAGTCCATTTCTGGGTCGGGGGAGGGAACGAGAGCTTCACCGATCAAGATTCTGCAGCTAACTTTTGATGCTACATGTGTCGAGATGATGTGGATCAATTTTGAGACAAATCAGTGAAACGGCCAAGGCTGGTTTCTTTAAAAGTGCGAGGTGAAAATTGTAAAGATTTTATGATTTTCCCACTGACACAGAATGGTCAATCCCCACAGCAACACAGTGACAAATAAGTCATACATCTGTGACAGGAACAATGAAGAATGAAGAATATAACAACTATAGCATGGTCAAAATCTTTGAGAAGTGGTCTTGAATGCCTTGTCCCCTTTAAAATATCTATTGATTTATCTTCGTAGGCCTTTGAAACGTGTGTGTGTGGTCCGCAGGTTGATCCAGGAGAGCAGCATGTGAGAAAAAAACATGTCTTTCACACTGAGCTATATCCCTGATCGTGTGTTTGTGTCGACCGTGAAGGCAAAGTTAAAAGCGTGGGAGCAGCTCTGGGTAGTTTGTGTGTGGGAGATTACAAAGCCGTGTCCATATGGGAGCGGGCGCCGCGCATAAGGCCAGTCCAGGCCAAGTGACAGAGCGAGGACTGGACACCGCAGGGGTCATCTGAGCGCTGACTGAGCAACATTCAAGTCCAGTCACTGACAAAACTAGCACTGGATTGGAAGTTGTTTTCAGCAGTGATTTATTTATATGCAAAACAAGATAATGCGGGACTCGGAATTGAAGTTTGCAAATCTCTTATGAAAACAGAACAGATGGACTTGTTTGAAGTTTTTTAAAACATGTTTATTTCTAAACCAAGAATACAACATAAAAGGAAAGAATAAGAAATATTTTACCGAGCAGTATATGTAATTTTTCTTTTACAAACATAGATTCAGCATTATACTGCACGAAAAGGTTATGTTCATGTGACATCACAACAGTCAATCAAGCCTAAAGATTCTATTTGTGGTGGATGGCAGCTGAACAATATTTCATGGTAAATAAATAGTAAATGTCAGATTTCTAGTCTGCTTAAAGCCAATTCCTCAAGTTCCTGGACCAAGCCACATTGACACCCAAGACAACTGTTGTTGTGATCTTGAAATAAATGTAATTGAATTCAATTTATAAATAAAAATATATATAAAAGATCCAAATCTTTATCATTAAAGCTGACTATGGTGTAATAATAATACATTGTAATAGATATATTCTCTGTAAAACATATGTATGATTTATTTATTTATTTAGAGGATAAGCCCCTTGAGATGAACCATCTCATTTTCGAGGGGGTCCTCGAGATTTCACAAAGTGACAGATACAGCAAAACAGATGCAAACAAAACAAAAATACAAGAAAATATTAAAAAATAAAAATAAAAAAAACAAAAAAAATACACACACATAAACCCTCAATGACTCACACACATACACACACACACACGCTGTGACTGTACTGTAATTACAATAAATAAAATAATACTATTAATAATGATAATAATAAGGAAACAGTAAAGACAAGATTAGGTCTCATAACCTAAGATCAAAAACATTGACATGAATTCTGGAGATATTGTAGCAGAGCAGATTTAAACAGAGGCAGAGAAGTTAGAGAGCGAATAGACATCGGCAAACTGTTCCAGTCAGACGGAGCTTTAAATTCAAATGCATGTTTTCCATGATGTTGGCCAGTACAGTATATCTTTCAGACAGACTAATAACAAAGTGCCATTTTGATTTATTTTGATTGATTTTATCAATGAATGATCTGGGAAATATTTGGACATTTATTTATTTCAAAAATGCCTTCTGTCCCAAGCGATAAGATAAGAGAAGCTTTATTAATCCCACAGTGGGGAAATGTCGGTGTTGCAGTGCACATACAGGACAGTGGAAAGAGCACACAAGTAGCATACAGAATATGCACACACACACACACACACACACACACGCACACACACACACACATACACACACACACACACTTAGTATTACTAGTGTACTATATTGCACATGATTGCATTACTTCCTATTTACAGATGAACAGCATGTCCTGGGTCAGAAGTTCTCGTTGTACAGCCTGACAGCAGTAGAAAGGAAAGACTGGTAAAGCTTCTCCTTCACACAGCAATGGTGGATCACTCTGTCACTGAAGCCGCTCTCCATAGAGTTCTTTCGGCACCTTTCAAACTGAAACATAATTATGGAATATAAATGTTTCCTTTTAATATAAACATTATAAAAATGCAAATAAAGTCGGACATGTTAATGTGAGCAGATCACAAACTGTTACTGTAGCAAGAAAACAAGGTATTCATTCTACTTTTGTTCCTACTCGTTGTTGCACATCAAAACAACGCCACTGTTTTGCAACTGCGTCTTCAGCTCTTTTGTAAGATTAATTATAGTATTTTGTGCCGGTAATAGAGACATAAAACACATTGAGGTCATTACATGGAGTAATGGCCCGAACTGGAGTAGAAGCCCCAAGCCAATGCGCACTCTCCCCCAGAAGATGATTTTGTTTATCATTGGTAATTATTGAACATTAATTTGGATAATGTGGTTAAAGTTTCTTTTTATAGTTTCTTTGATGAGCAAAAAGTTACGCTGCTTTAATCCAGCAGCAAAATGACAATATGACTCCCAGGGGAAACATGTGACATCAATCTTATGATGTGTGAAAACAGGCATTACTAGTTCAGCCAGAACCATCTTCCTCCTCCATTGCATAAAAACATGTGGCATTAAAGCTGGGGTATGAAAGTTTCAAACCACAATACTGTAATAGAATTATTCCTACTGCTACCGCCTGCATGTAAAAGCTAGATCCTGTAAAAGACCTCTGAAGCTAAGAAGGGCAGGGCTTGGTTAGTACTGTGGTGGGAGACCAATGGGAACACCAGGTGCCACAATGAGGCACCTGGTGTCCTTAGGCAAGACACTTCATCCACATTTCCCTGAACAAGTCTGGTGTGTGTGTGAATGGTAGGTGGTGGTCAGAGCGGTCAAGAGCACATACTGGTTATCTTGTCAGTGTGCCCCAGGCAACTGTGGCTGGGGTAATAGTTTATGTGTAATAGGTTTTGAATGTGTCTCTTGTATTAAGTTCAGTTTGGATCTGTTGGATAAATGTAATGTTAATGTCTTTCAGAACAAAGCCCTAGATCTAAAAAGTTTGGACACCCCTTAAACTAAGAATAGCTGCGTGTTATTTGACTGACTTTGAGGCCTGCAGCTCCCTCTCCTGTTTCAACCCATGTCCAAACGACCGGCCGGCGCCTGGTACGAGTCCCAGAGAAGCTGTTAGCATTCTGCGCAGCTTTGGCTCCGCCGCAGCCTGGTACTGTAGGTGAGCGTGTTCCGTGGCCCCTGGGGGACCCCTCAGTCTTTGATGTGGAAGCCAGCGCACTGCGAGGATGAGCGATGGGATGTTCACAAACAGGACTGGGGCGATCGCAGCAGATGGTCCCATGTACATGTCCTCACAATGAACGTGAGATCACAAGCAGGCGCAAACATGGAGGTGGTGACGCTGGCCAGAAGCAGAGATGCACTGGATGATGTGGACGTGGTTTGGTGTGGGGGATTGAAGATTTGAAACATAAATGTAAAGGTGTAATAACTATGCTTTATACAATCTGGATTTTTGGACATTTCAATTCTGAAACTATACAAACTCCCAGAGCAGTAAAAAAGTGCGTAAGTTTCCATCTTTTTTAATAAATGCTTGAGCTGGTGAATATAACTGAAATACAGAAAAAAACAGTTTGGTGAAAGGCTAAATGGCTGCAAGTTAACAGCATGTTGCTATAGTAACTAGCACTTGCTCTTTTCTGGTGGAAAACCAGCAACCAGAACCAGCAGTTTGGAGAGAAGGGGCTTTAACTGCCTTTTAATGTTGGTTGCCAAGCGACAGAAAATGGCTCAATGTTGAAATGCGCATTCAAATAAACAGAGCAGTCAAAATTACTGCTCTGGGAGTTAACGGCTCAATTTTAGAAAATGAAATAAAAGGTAGTTTAAGTGTTTTGTGGACAATTACTTGTTCGTGTGAAACAATATATTTAGCAGAAAATAAATAGTGAGACAAAAATGCTTCCTGCCTGTAACTCCCTGTGCTACCACCAGAGGGAGGGGGAGGATTTATGTTTTGTTTAAAACATTCTAATATCACCAACTGTCAACTCGACATCTTAAGAATTGGCAAAAGTAATTCATGAGCAATATTTTTGTTTTTAAAGGCACAATCGTAAAATGACAGTCCGAGTTACATGTTCCCAGAAGTTCATGATTGTAGCGTGGGCAGATTGAAGAGAATCTCTGGGTCTGTTTCTGATGAGGGAACATTTTCATTAATTTTGTCCATTGTTCATCTGTAGACATTTGAGTAACAAAAATTTATTAGTATATTTTTTACAGTCAAAAAATGTCAATCATTGCGCTTTCATTAATCATTTTTGAAAGATGATTTTGTTTTGTACAACTGTTTACAAATGTAATCATAGCCGCAGTGATACAAAAGGTCCAGTCAGGCTCAGCTCACAAAGACAGCGCTGTACGCCTCGGTACTGTGCCTGTCTCTGTAATTACATATGTCCACAGTTTAAATGAACTGTCTGTTGTGGGTCTGAGCTGCGGTCTCTCCGTGTCTCTGGGTCCTGGGCACTGTACTCGCCTGTATCTCACTATGTATTAGCTCCACAACAAAACGACATTATACACCTGCAGAGCCACCCAGCCACTGCCACAGGTCCAACGTGACTGTGAGAAAGTGGTAGATTACAGTGAGCTGCACCCCCGTCCCAGCTTCAATCCTGGACCTTCAGCCTCAGTCCTGGATCTGCAGCCTCAGTCCTGGATCTGCAGCCTCAGTCCTGGATCTACAGCCTCAGTCCTGGATCTGCAGCCTCAGCCCTGGATCTACAGCCTCAGTCCTGGATCTGCAGCCTCAGTCCTGGATCTACAGCCTCAGTCCTGGATCTGCAGCCTCAGTCCTGGATCTACAGCCTCAATCCTCGACCTACAGCCTCAGTCCTGGACCTACAGCCTCAGTCCTGGACCTACAGCCTCAGTCATGGACCTACAGCCTCAGTCCTGGATCTGCAGCCTCAGCCCTGGATCTACAGCCTCAGTCCTGGATCTGCAGCCTCAGTCCTGGATCTACAGCCTCAATCCTCGACCTACAGCCTCAGTCCTGGACCTACAGCCTCAGTCCTGGACCTACAGCCTCAGTCATGGACCTACAGCCTCAGTCCTGGACCTACAGCCTCAGTCCCAGATCTATAGCCTCACTCCTGGATTTACAGCCTCCATCTTGGACCTACAGCCTCCGTCCTGGATCTACAGCCTGTCGGTCCGTGGGAGCAGATCCCTCTCTCAGTACGGTCCTCTCAAAGGTTTCTGACTTTTTTACCGACTGTTTTTTTTTTTTTCATGCTGATGCAGGAGTGTCCAAGGACAGTGATAGTAAATCTATAAATAAATCTTTATTCGTATAGCACTTTTAAAAATTGTGTTCACCAAGTGCTGCACAATCAGCATAAAGCAATAAAATCATAACAGTCATAATAATATAAGATATCAAACAGAAATACTTGAGATTAAAGCAGACAGACTAAAAAGAAAGACAATGTGGAAAAGTGAAATATGGACACATTTGAAACATCCATCCATCCATTTTCTTCCCCTTAATCCATTTCTGGGTCGGGGGTGGCAGTCAGAGCTGCACCCAGTACACAGAGCACCAGCCCCTCACTGATCCTCCTGCAGGTGGTGAGTCCACAGGAGCCTTGATTATTCGGCGGGGGCTTCAGGCGAAGTGGGGTGAAGTGTCTTGCCAAGGACACAACGACAGCATTCATCAGTTGAAACATGTAGCTTTAAATACAGAGAGTTATGGGAAGGCCAAGGACTGTCTGAAGCGGGTTTTGAGAAGTGATTTATAAGAGGTTACTGATGCTGATGATCCAGGACATTTAAGGACATTTATGGACAGTGGTCATCCCGCCCTATGGACCAATGGCTCCTGTGTGTTTGTTATGATCGCATTCTGTTTTTTTCAAGTCATTTTTTATTGCTGATGGGAAAACGGAAGTGCCCAGAGGAAAACCCAGACATTCCACTCCCTCATACAAAGGCATTGGGAGGTACAGTATAGAACAGATTGCTTGAAACTTAAAATATTCTTCACAATTTTCACAATCCTTTCCTTTCTCATCAGTTCACGCAGTCCTGCACTGCTTGACCTGCACGTTAAAGATTGAAAGCTCCTACTCTCCGCACAGTATTCAGGTCATTCTCCTGAGTATTTGAGTACATTCTTGAGACATTTTCCAAACTGTGTCAAGCTATAATTCAAGGACACATTTATTATTTACAACCCAACTCAGCCCGCATATCTTTTGTTCACACATGCTGCTATCAACTTCGCAGTGGGGAATACCAAACAGCCAGGTGCACAGAGGGAAACATGTCATAGAAAACTGGTTGAAAGCAATATCTCTACGCAGCAGTGAGAGTCCTTATGGAGTGTTTGCAAACTACTTTTGATTAGAGATGCACTAGCCTGGTCGTACCACACCATAGTACAAATTACATTTCGTACTAAGGTCTGGAGGTGCTCCATTGAGCTCCGTTTACAGGTGGGAGGGGCTAACTCCTTTTGCAGATTGAAACAATTGGATCTGAGTTTACCGTGACGTATGTATTGCGCCCGAGTGTGTTGTTAGCATTTAGTCTAGCCATATCCTTTGCAGCTAACGGAGCCTGTGGGGAGTAGCGCCACAATTCTTTCCAGCTATTACATTTGCTAAACAATACCCTTGCTCCGGCTTCAATTTCTTGATAGAACCAGACCGGATTACTTTACTATCGCATTTTTCGCCATTTCCAAACTACAAGCTGCCTGTTCGAGGCAAACTCTTGACATCACCCACAACTAACTACAACACCCGCCTCCCGCGCTCGCTGAATGGTCGGTTGATTGTAATCACTAACTGTTAGGAAATTGGTTTATTAGCATATTAATAAATGTATGGGTTTTCATATAGAATATGTTTGGGACAAAGTGAGCACTCAATGGCAGGCAATCACTTATCTAATTCATGAGGCCAATGTGACGTTGGAGACTGCTGAGTTCACCGTTCTCTGGGGTCAATGGGACTGTGGACGTCTAGAAGGACAATAGAGCCTGTAGAGAGATGTCAAAACATCTTTTTTGGAGCTGGCCGTCTTCCAACTGGAGATCTGACAACAGCAGCAAGGCCTGGAGGTTGCGGGTGGAAGAACAACTGCAGCGACGGTCTTCGTTTGGGGTTCGATCGGCTTCAAAATTTGGGTTGAAGACATAAAAGCCACGGTTTCCTGACATCGCCAAAACAGGCAAGTTGCCAGGGACCAGACCCAGACGTTACATGCAGTGAAATAATGATTGACCGGAGTGTACGGATGGCTAAGGCCAGGCTAGAGATGCACAAATACTGAAATCGGCAATTGGCGCAAATCTAGGGAAATTTGGATATTGCGTTTGTTGTGTGGCTTATTACCATTCAGTTTTTCTGTATCCCCTAAATCCCAACAGCAGTCGTCTCGGAGAACTATCATCCAAAGTGGTCAATTCCTCAGTAAAAGATCAGAGATTCAAACAGTCTTTGAGTGTCCAAAAAGGCGCTATATAAAACTGATGCATTATTATTATTATGACATGAAATGCAATAACAGCAAACACATACTGAAGGAGTCATTGGTCCTCAGATCATCACTGTCCTCAGACCCTTCTGCATCTGCAAGGAAGGGTGGGAAAAAAATGAGAAACCTCATGGAAGCCAACATTGAGAGGGATCAACTCCTCCCATAGTTGGACAGGCTGAAGATCCAGCCTTTCTAGTTTCTGATGGGTGAAATAATTGACCAATAATCAAATATATTGTTATTTGTGTGTTCTAAGTTTGTTGATGATGGGTGTGTAGCCATAAGGTCAGGAGCTCAGGGGCTTAGACAGCTGCTCTCCTCTTGACCCGTTTAACGCCTCATAAACCTCTTAACACATCACCTGCTGAGAGCCAGCGTCACAGCCAAGGTTACACACAACTTTCATCTCACAACATGAAGGCTAGAAGTTTCAGTATATACTATCTTACATGCTGTATACACGTTAGGAAAGGAAGAACATCATCCTTTATCAGCTAAAAAAAGTACCAAAGATCTTCCTCCTTATGGACTTCATTAATATCACACACCACATATTTGGAGTGCGGCTACTGTATGGTGCATTCAGAGCACATTAAGCATTAAACCAAAACCAGTTGAAGGCCAAACCAAGATTACAACAGGACCAAAGAATTAGAAAAAATGTAGGGAGCACTGCATTGATCGGAAACATGTGAGGCGAAGCTATAGCCAAGTGCTCGTTGGAGGTTGCGGCTGAATTCCTTATTGCAAAATAGAACTCTTGTCTGTTTGGAACACAAGTTGACAAAA